TAACAAAGTAAAAAACTTGGTATAAAAAATCCTCATGCTAATAACAAAGTGTATACGGTTAATCATGCACTTCCAAAGTACATATTGTTTTTAGTAACATATTATTGCCTTGAAATATAATGTTCTACTTGTTATCTAAATAAATATATTCTTTTTAATAACATTTTTGTGTTTTTTGTTTGTTTTTTAAACAATTTTTGATAAAAAATAGTTATCTAAGTATCTATATTCTTTTTTCAATAACAGTTTTTGTCTTCAAATGCATCCTCATCTCATGATCTAACATAGTAAAAATGAGTATAAAAGTATACATTCACAACACTTATTGCCCAGGTTAATAATTAAGAAAGTGTACACATAATACATTCATCATTTTATTTAATTTCTAGATTAGGCTTAGGTGTATTATTATTATTATTATTAATCATTAATATACTATTCAAATGCTCTAATAGCAAGCCTTTCATTTCTCTCTACATACATAATAGATCAATTCTTTCTTAGATTGAAATAACTTGTAATGCACATTATAATTACTTTTATGACAGTAAGTCATAGTTACTATTCCTATTTCATAACATATTTTACTATCTAGGAATATAATGTTTTACGTTTATCTTTCTCAAATAATACGGGCTGACATGCATCTAATAAGTAACCAATCATACCGAGTCATGTAATGAATTCTCGGGAAAGAATAGTGCATAAAACCAGGATTTGCTGTCAACCCGTCCACCCCCATCTATCCTTCATGTTTACCACCTTCAAATGTTCAAATTCAGACTTGTATTTCCTTCCTACTACTCTTTTATGATTTTTCAACAACCCTTCATTCATAAAATTATTTATTTTCTCAACAACTTCTTTCTTGAGCATTTAATTCGGATTCATAGAAAAAGGGCCTACAACTGCTGATGTTGCCTCGCCTCGGATGCTCAACCTTCTTTTGCATATGTTTTTCTCTTTTCCTTTTTTTTTTATCTTGTTCTAGATTGATAGGGGTGAACCTATTTGGACACTTGGTTCCTCTCCTATGCCTATCATCGCCCTATATAGAGAAATATATTGTTGCATTGATCTTACTATCTGATAAGATTAAATTAGGATGTATCTCTTGATATTACCACAATTTCATAAATCTCGTGCTCTTCACTATCTTTGTTGGTGTTTGCCTCTTGATCTATATGTGTTTCTTTTAACTTTGTCTTTCCTCTTTTGTCATTCACATCATTGTCCTCATCCTCGACCTATATAACAAACAAACACATTATATCACACATTATTATTCAAAATGCAAAAGCAGTTTTTAAATAAAAACCTCATCACTTGTGGAATCTGGATCATCATCAATGCCCTTTTCTCTCTCACTGAACTCGCCATCAAACTTCCTTTGATGCCTCGCATCAAGAATGTATAAATACTCAATTCAACCGTATAGTAGGACTCAATATATACCTAAACATATCACACTATTTAAATCATATAGTAAGTCTCGATTAATACTATACCTCAATGTTTCCATATTATGACCATACTCTCACACTTGGTCCTTCTTAAATCAAATAAAACATTACCTCAATCCTACTCAGTCATATTGTCCTATTTTGTACCCTAGATATTTAATGAAGAACACAAGCTAAATTGTACACCATTCCTAATATAATAATTATTACGGACTTGTTGCATATACTCCCTCCGTCCCGCAAAGAAGTTCCCACTTTCCTTATTTGGATGTCCCAAAAAGAAGTTCCCATTTCCTTAAATGACAAGTTATCTACATCAAAACAGTGCCAAACAGTGCAAAATAGTGCCAAACAGTGTCAAAACAGTAAAATTTACCCACTGGTAAGTTTATTTCCTTAATATGTGTGTAGGTCAAACCGGGAACATCTTTGCGGGACAGAGGGAGTATTACATTACCAAATATGATGTTTAATTGGCATATTATTGTCCTCCATTTCCTCCATAATTTCATATGTTGATGTATTAAAAAATTAACATGGTTTTGTCCCATGCCATAAACTAGTTGTACATCCGAATCACATCAAATACCATAGTATATTTCCACAATTTGTTTCACGAATTTGGACTTTTTCATTGCCTTAATTTATTTCCTTGGTCTATTCTTGTATGACAAACCCTAACATACCCCCACATACACCTCCTTTTACTTTCAAACTATAGCGTAAAGAGAGATACACTTACCACTTTGTCGACATTAATTGTTTCCCTATTCTTCATTGCCCTTCTCGAACACTTGCCAGTTTTTGTCATCATCTTTGTCTTCATTGAATTGCCTTCTTTTTCACAGGTGAACTCAAATTATACAATCGATGTACAATTATCGCGTACCAAGGTCTCTGTGGTGCCTCTGTAGTCAATGTTTTTTTTAGCATTCATATTCACTATCCTAATTAACCGTGCTTCTCAAATTATTCTTTTTCTATTTGTTAATATCTTACTTAGTTAAAAGGGCATTATTGGTATTTTATTCCTATAAAACGCACACACCTCATGTCTTTCATTATCAATGAAGTCATAAAACACTTGAAATATATATAGTCATATATTAGGAAAATTAAACACATCTTTTAGTAATACTGGAGTATTTTTCCCACATAGTACGTATAGTCCGAAAGGTTCCACAAAAAATAAAGTATAAGTTATTTATTAGTTTTGTTTAAATATTATTGAATGAGGATTATTGGAGGAATAAACACTAGATGACCATATATAGGGAAATGTAAACTGTTGTAATCATATATGAGATAAACATATCTTAGTTATATTGTATTTTATAGCACTTATCGTTGGGTTTTGTTGGTACATGAACAAGTTTATGGCGGAAAATATCATATAAAAAACATGTACATTCTATGAGTTATAGTAAAAATTGTAGAAAGAAAGATGTAAATAAAAGAATAATTTGAGCATTTCCCGGTTCATCTACTGGTGATTCACGCATAGCTTTCTGACCTTTAGTGTGCTAGCATCTAGAGATGAATTTCACTTAAGAACCAATATTTAAAACAAAGCACCCTCTTCCTCCTATTTTTCTTTTGGCCCAACGACCCCTTATGATGAAAGAAATCCCCTTCATATGACCATAGGCTGGGTATGTATGAACTATGAAAGATCCTCACCTTCTGAAGAGTTGTACTTTTGGTTTGAAAACACACAAGGGTGGGTTGTACAAGTATGTGGGATATGTAGGGAGGGGCACAAAATTTCTATCAATCATGGAAGGGAATGATATTTTTACAAACTTTTTCCAAAAACTTGGTGAACGATGAAAAAAAAATCTCAAAATTTGATCTCCACTTTAATGTATTTATTGAAATAAATCATATTTAGATTAAATAAATTAATCTCATTATTAATGTATTGATCAAGGTTAATTTAGTTCTGACCCGATAGGTTTAGACAATGGTTGCAAATTGTAATGAGTCAGAATCCAATTGAGACTCATAAACTGAAAGCAGCCTCTAGCCAAATATTATGGTTACCAATTTTTTCTAAATGTTTATCCAACATTTTCAAACTTATGATTTAATGCACTAAACACATTGTCAATAGATATCATAATCAAAATGAGGTTTGATGGATAATAGAGTATCCAAACTATATTATTTAGAGAGAGTTTGAGGTAGAGAGAAGAAGAAAAGTGATGGTTGTGTATTGAATGTATGAATCAATTAGGGTTATAAGTCCTCCCATAGGGAGTATATATAGAGAAGTAGTTGGTCAGGTCGCTAATATGGGCCTGATAGGCCCAACTACATAAAACACTAATCTAGTAGATACAAATGGATAATAAAATGTACAATAATATAAATGATATCCACCGAGTGTACGTGGATCACTGTCAATGTCCAATAGCCATGAGACCGAGGGTCCAAGTCTATATACTCTACAGGAGTCCCCCACTCGCAGAGGCAAGAGTACTCAATCGAGGCAAAAGGAAGTGGAGCTATTGCTAATCTATCGTCGTTTGGTGGATTACATTGTCGTCGTCGCTTAGGTGCCCTGCCTGAATATCCAAAGCAGCTCATTCGATGTCATTGCGCGATCCATGACCGAGGCAACCATGTGGGAGAATCCTTAGACGAAGATCGCATGTAGACGAGTCGCTGAGAAGCCTATCATAACATGGAGACGAGGCGTTGAGGAGCCCATTGTAATGTGAGGGCGAGGCGATGAGGAGCCCGTCATAATATGGAGGTGACGAGGAGCTGGTCCACATTATGATAACAAGGTGATGATGTGGCGATCATCATATAAAGGCGACACTCACTATTTGGGAAGACAATGACAAACCTGGTCGATAGATGAAGACGTTCGGTGTTGGGAGCCGATCTTGAGATAAAGACAACGGTGCTGAGGAGGCCATTCATGATATGAGGTTGACGGCTTAGAGAGTCAATCGGTCCAAATATGAAGATATGGAATTGAGGAGCCGATCATCATATAAAGGCGATGGTCGCCATCCGGGAAATGAATGCCAAGCCCAATCACAAGATCAAGGCATTTAACACTAAGGAGCTGGTCTTGAAATAGAAAATCAATTCGTATCCGAGGAGCCAGTCGTGATATGGGGACGTCGGCACTAAGAAATCGGTCCAAAATATGAAGATGAGGTGATGAGAGCTCATCGTGACATGAAGAGGACAACATTGAGAGGAGGATCCAAACACTCCAATAAGTGCTTCTGCTCTTTGAAGGAACAGAAACAATTTTATGAAGCATATCCAAACACCCCCTAAGGATGTTTTTACTTGGATTGTTTTCAATCCCCAACCAGATCAGACTTAAACAAACCAGATTAGACCAGACTTAAACAGACTAGACCAGACTTGACTTGCGTAGTTATAAATTACACAGAAACCAGACGTTTACCATAACAGATCAGACCAATTCAAACCAAACTAAACTTATACAGACCAGATCCGATCAGACAAGACATAAACAACCAAACCGAACCAAACAGAAACAAACAACAAATTAAAGTCGTTCTCGTATGCTTTCTCGCATGATGACCTCGGTCAACAATAGAGTCCTTCTCACCATCTGCTTCGTCTTTCAAGCTCTCCTGTTGGCCACGGTCACTCATATGCCCTGAGATTTCCGAAAAGGCCAAATCTCCAAATCACCCAAACTCCTAAACGGTTAAAGTGCCAAACCCTTTGAAAATTGAGGTCGACGGAGGAGGCGGCCGAACTCCAAAATCACCAGACTCCAAGCGAGCAAATAAGCAACCGGCCAAGATTCCAACTCTCCAAGAGGTAAGTGGTTAACCTATTGCCCTGTTTGCCCATGTTTATAAGCTTCATGAGATTCCCTTCAGTTTCAAGATCTCTTTCGCCTCTTTTCCAGGATATTCCTACCATTCTCCGCAGTGTCATATTTTTCAATTGGCGATGTCAAACACTGTTCCCATTCCAAGCGGCATGTATAAGTTAGGCTTCATCGGAGCAGGAAAGTTGGCAGAAAGCATTGCGAGAGGGGTAGTCAAATCAGGCATATTGCCGCCTTCTCGTATTCGCACTGCCCATTGCGGCTCCGCTCGCCGCACTGCCTTTGAATCATTTGGTGTCACCGTCTACGACCACAACAAGCAGGTTTGGTTTTTGCTTCCTTTTTTTTTTTTACAAAGATACGATCTTTAGGCTAATTCTTGGTTCCTCTCATGTTGGGCTGTTTGGTTCTTCAAAAGATTGCTTCTTGTCTCCAATCAAAAGTATATATTTTTTGGATTAGCCCAATAGTTCCCAACTTCCCAACAATTGATGAGATATTTTCATTGTATATGAAGGACAGGTTGTTGAAGATAGTGATGTGATCATATTCTCTGTGAAGCCTCAAGTTGGTAGGCTTCCTATTCTCGTCATTAGTGGTAGTATTAATTTATATCAGTAACTAAGAAACTGTTCTTAGCTGATAATCTGTTAGAACTTAGAACCACAGAATTTTACATCAAAGTAGTAATTTTTGCACCTTGTATAGCCTGTAATCTCTTTGCAGGTTATGTGGTTCCACTTCTTCTTACAGCTAGAATGAACCCAACAACCTTAAGCAACCTTCATGATTTTTTGCTCAATAGTATCCTAGAAAAAATGAAAATGAATGTGCATATGTTTGTTGGAAGAAATCAGAATTACTGACATCTTAATTGTGCACACAACATATATTTTTCCATGTAGCACTTCCTTAGCTTTTCATGATACCCCATTTCCTTGTGCACAGTTAAAGACGTGATATTAGAACTGAAGCCCGTTTTTACTGAGAAACAACTTCTGGTGTCAGTTGCTGCAGGTGTCAAATTGAAAGACTTGCAGGTTTGTGTAGTAGTGTAGCTCACTTCTTGTCCATATAATCAGTTCTAATAATCATTTGTAAATCAAGCTGTGAGGCCTCTCTTTGCTCCATTGTGCTTGATGATTTAATTATCAATACCCCCCTTATTGACTTCACTTTTTGGTAGTTGATCATGTCATAATAGCTTATTCATGTTTTATTGGTTTACTTGGCTTTTTTTCTTGGTTGAAGAGTCAGAGCGTAGTCTCCACTCCTTTTAGAACATAGACACACAGTCACTTAGATGTTGTTTGAGAATATTGGTATCTTAAGACTACTGAGAAGTTAATGCTACTTCGGCTATGCAATCTCCCTAAACATTACCTGGTTCAGTAAATAGACTACCTTGTGTTTCCATGGTGTAAGAAGAATAGTCTGCTGTAGCAATGTAATAATTATTCCTAATATGTGTTTCCTTAGTAATATCTTCTCACACATGCTAGATTATTCAAAAGGTTAGGTCTCTTAAATGTTAATTCAGCCTGTTCCTTTGATTCCTACGTATGAAGATGGTATTTCAATAATTAACACTCATCAAAAGGAAAAAAACATTGCATGAAGATGATATGACTTCCTCAAACCATATGATATAGTTCCCTATTATCCTTTGTGTGCATATATTAAGATGATTTCCTCAATTAATTATGCTGTTAATGTTCTCCTGATACTTCTAATATTTAATCGATTACCTGAAGCAGTAAGTTGTTTTGCAAGGAATGGGCAGGTAATAGTAGATTTATTAGGGTGATGCCAAACACTCCGGCAGCTGTTGGCGAGGCAGCTTCTGGTATGTTTTACATTTTCTGCTAGGTCCTTGAAGTGACACACATATGGTGATCCTTAACGTGTTTTGGCAAGAACATAAGACTTGTCTAATAGATTTTTTACCACGAAATCGTGTTACTTTCTTCTTTTTCGGGTTGGAATGGGTAAAATGATTATCAAACTTTCTCACGAGTCATATATGCTATTCATTTGCTTACATTCGTTTTACTACAACTACTACCACCTTCTTATGTGGGAAGTGCATCATTTTTAAATAAAATGTCTTAACATAGTGATTAGCATGGGGAGTGGGGCTTTAAAAGAAGATGGAGAACTGATCTCATTGCTGTTTGGAGCTATTGGGAAAGTGTGGAAAGCTGATGAGAAAGTGTTTGATGCAGTCACTGGTCTAAGGTATATGTTGCTCCTTTGACTTATCAATTAGTCTTTACAAGGGAAACTACTGTCCAAGGATTCCTTGCATTTCTTTTAAATTATGGAGTTCCTTTGTTTATTTATAGGAATTTCTCAATATAGGATTAAAACATACACAAAGTTAAAAAATAGGACCAAGTATGTTTTATTCCCCAAATAGAACTTATTTAATCCTATCAAAAGAATAAGTTGATTTAGACTTCCCAAAATAGGAGTGAATGAATTCTATTTTAGGAATAAAGTTCTAGTGGGAAAATAAGTTTAAATAATACCAACTATCATCAATAAATGAATAATAACACATCATTTGGAAACAATTTTTGATATTACTCGCTACTTCTTAAATATATACACCAATCAAGCCTTATCTAAAAGAATTTGGGGTCGGCTAACATGAATACATATATGATATTGGATCTAAAAAGGACAAAAAAGAAAACAAAGATGCGATAAGATAAAAAATGTAAGATAAGATAAAAAAAAAGGTAAAATAAAAATTGAAGATAAAAAAAATTGGAGCCACTTTTCAACTAGAAATCCAGTCATTTAAAACAGTAAAACTGATATCAAGCCATCAAATAAAAGATATTTCAAAATGGGGTCACTTATTTGATATCAGTTCTCGATGAGTTAAATGACTGATTTTTTAGTGGAAAATTGACTTGTCTCACTTTTCTATATTCAAACAGTTGATATTTTCTAAAATTATTTCTAAATTCTAAAGTACGTATTATTCTTGGTTTACATATGAGTTTGTATTATTTGAAATTACTTTCCCTTTATTTATTTGTTTAAAAGGGATTATTCCAAAATACTTATGCATGACATTATTGTAAATAATAGTCAATGTCAACACCAGCACCGTAGTCACTACGCTGGTCAAATATGGTCGGTCACTACGCTGAGGTTACATTTTTTATGCATCACTTTTACTTGATTAATACATTTGTCTTTATTTGTTATTTAAACCAGTGGAAGTGGACCAGCATACATATATTTGGCCATAGAGGCATTGGCTGATGGAGGGGTGGCTGCTGGTCTTCCTCGAGACCTTGCACTTGGTCTTGCTACTCAAACTGTATGTTCATTGTCATTGTACTCTGTTTTTTTTTTTCATATCACAAACATTTTTGTGATGTTTATTCTAATTTAAGACAAAAATGTGAAATTTGGTGGCAGGTACTGGGGGCTGCAACTATGGTGGCCAGTGGAGGGAAACACCCAGGTCAACTTAAAGATGAGGTAGCCTCAGCAGGTGGCACCACCATTGCCGGGATTCATGAGCTGGAAAAGGCTGGGTTTCGCGGGGTATTGATGAATGCTGTTTTAGCTGCAACTAAGCGCAGTCGAGACCTTTCCCAGAACTAGTTAACAGTTTTCCCGTCAGCTCTAGATTATTTGTTCTACAAAGTCAGAAAGCAGCTGTTCTCTTTCTCTTTTTATTTATTTATTCATTTTTTATTGATAAACTGATGCCACTTGAGTCTACAATAGACAATTACTCTCTGTTTTATGCATCATTCTTGTTCCCACTAAGCTAATTGTCTTTTGGGGGTTTACCCAGAAGATCAGAATACATTGTCAATTATGGCTAAGAATTTAGTGTCACTGAGGGAAAAAGAATCACGCTTCACCCAAAATAATAAAAAACTGATCTTGGGGATGGAAGTATGGAAGGGATCAGATGCATGGTATTAAGAATAACATGTAAAATTATGTTCCAATCATTGGAACTCTTGAAAATAAACCAATTGACATTGGAATTGTTACATATACAAGTAATACAACAATATCAAGCCGAGGTATAACTTTTAAAAAAGACTTATTCTTTGTCCTTTAACAAATTGTTGACCATCTTGACCAAAGGCAAAGTGCCCTTGCCCATTATCTCTAGCCTAGAAGCATTAGAGGCATTTGAGAATAGTGAGAGCCCAAAGAACATGAGCTCTGGAAGAAACAGCCGTGAAGACAGGAACCCGTGCCAATAACGAGGCTCCAGATCAAAAAACGCTTCGAAAAATCTTCTAGTACCTGGCAAATCTAACTTCAACAGAACGTCCATTCCAAAACAAAAGAACTCCCTCTGCTGCCTCCTCTCTTTAGGCCACAAATCTCTCCAAACACACTCAGACAATTCCTCACCTACAAGGCTTTTGCTTCTTCTGTCATTGCCAAGGTATTGAATAATTGAATCGGCAAGGATTGGGGCGGCTGCCAGTGTCCTTGCCACCATATACCCTGTCGAGGGATGAACCATCCCTGCAGTCCCACCAATCCCAATGACTCTTTGGGGCATCACCGGTAGGGGTCCACCCATTGGAATCACGCAACGCTCATCTTCTTCAATCCTCTTCACCTTGATCCCTAAGTGCCTCAAACGGACTGCCATCCTCTCCTGGATGTCCTTCATATCTAAACCGGGACGGGCCACAAGTGACGTTTCTTCAAGGAATATCCTATCTGAAGAGAATGGCATTGCATATAGAAAGGTTGGAAGCTTTCTGTTTCTCTCCTTTAGCTCCGAGTTATTTAGATGAGAGTCGCGCCAATCCATGAAAACCATCTTGTTAATATCAAATGGGTGTTTCTCTACCTCTGCCAGAATTCCATACGCGACTTGGTACCCTGGATTATAAGGCTTATCATACCCAACTAGAGATCTGGAAAAACCGGTTGCATCAAGAACTAAGGTTGCTTGGATGGTAACACCGTCATTGCAAATCAAGAAAGACTTTGATTCTTCATGTATGACACTCATAACCTTGGCTTGATGAAATTTAACGCCATTAAGGATGCATTTCTGCATCATTTTTGACTTGAGCTTCTTCCTGTTGACCCGCCCATAAGGTCTCCCGAGGTCTTTGGTTGTGTGGTCATCTATATAGACAGCAGCACCAGACCAGGTGGAATCCAGGCAATCCAGCAGATCCATGGCCTCAAATTCATCAACCCAAACCCCATAATTGTTGGGCCAGATCATTTTGGGAGAAGGGTCAATCGAACAAACCGATAGCCCCGCTTCCGAGACTTTCTGAGCAACAGCAAGCCCGGCCGGGCCACCACCAACCACCGCTAGATCCACTACAGTTCCCCTGGAAGGGTCATACATAGGAAGCTCGAAATCAAGATTTTCTATCTTGGTGGCAGGTACAAGGTCCAATAGGGAACTAGTACTGCTGGCCTTAACCAGACCGAAATTCCGGGATGTCTTCTTCCACGATCCAACCCGAATTTCCTGCGTCTGAGGCTTAAAGGAAGCTGCTTTAACCCGAAATTCATGATGCGGGTGAAGAAATTCAAGCTCATTTGGTGTTCTTAGCAAAGTATCCATTACCTGCCAACGAAAACCCAATCGGGTTTAACAATTCTTGATTTCAAGAATTCACTGATACGAGATAAGACAGTATCCAGACAGAGGCAGACAGATAGAAGGGGATAATAGGTCTATGAATAGATAAAATTTAGGTATGGGCAAATTTTCAAAAAATTTGGCATAACCTAAACATGATGAGAAAATTGAAGGACGTTAGGAAGTGTTGCAGGCTTACCATGTAGCTGAAAGTGAATGAACAAAGAGTAGCATGCGGTGAGGAGGAGAGCTTCGTGGTGGGAGGAAGAACTCACATGCTCCTGAGATAGCGGTTCATTTTAGGTTGCGTTTGTGTAAAGTTGTGACCGGTATAAAGTTGGAAGTGATGTTTTTAACGACGTACTAAGCCCTCTTAAAGAAAAGGAAATGGAAAAAGGGCAAATAAGGCCACATATTAACCAAAAAAGGTCAAATAAAGCCTTATTTAAGAGGTTCTGCCCGGCCGTCGCTATTTGGGATGGTTCCCGGTGGAATTTTTTGACGAATTTTTTTGAGCATCTTATTCATTAAGTCTAGTTTACGCTAAATTTCAGCTAAAACTTCAATCGGGAAGGCATTCAAATGAATTCTTGAAGATAACTGCGAAGTTAAAAGCGTAGTTATCTTCAAGAATTCATTTGAACACCTTCCCGATTGAATTGTTAGCTGAAATTTGGTATGAGTAAACTAGAATTAATGAATAAGATGCTCAAAAAATTTCATTAAAAAATTCTACCGGGAACCACCCCAAATGGCGACGGCCGGACAAAACCTCCTAAATAAGACCTTATTTGACCTTTTTTTATTAGTACGTGGCCTTATTTGCCCCTTTTCTCAAAAAGAAATGACTGGAATATGAACATTTGGAGTGACTATGGAAATGCACTAGAGGAGATCAAGTTAAAATAATAGACGTGTTGAATAAAAAACTAAGTTGAGTCTCTCATGTAATACGGAGTATATGTGAATGTCCAACTATTTGGCCCGTATATATCGTACTAGTTGTGTTACGCGCGTTGCGCGATGGAAAGATGCCCAATAACATGCATGACTTAATGACGCTATCATGGTTTCATGTAATATTTCTTGAAATTCACAATTTAAAAAAGTTGTAATCTTCACTCAAAATGACCTAAAAACATAAATTCAACATGAGAATCTAAATTAGACTATGAATTGAAAAGAAGTTTCATATTAACAAAAACACTCACGTAAACAAATTTACAAACATCAAGAGTGCTTTAGATAGAATTTCTCTTTTCGAATTAAATATAAACAAACAATAAAATTACAAATTGTGAGCCTCTCGATTTTAACAATTACATCTTAAGTTGCAATTTTCATATACAATGTAAACTGATTCAGAACTACACTAATTTTATGATTATTAGCAAGAAAACATGTGAGAGATGAAACGCTTCTCATGTTGAAATTTAGGGAGTGTTTGTAAGAATAAAAAAACGCTTTTCCGTCTTTTAGTTTTAGAAATTTTAAATGTGTTTTCAAGTGACATATTATGTTTAAATTAAGTACTAAAAAACTGAAAATTGGAAGCTGGTAGATGATGCTTTAATTTACATTGTTTTCACGTTTTCTATTATACAAAAAGTATTTTTTACAAATACTGTCAACTTTTTACTTTTTCCAAAAACACATTAACACTCCCAACTTTTATTACTAAGCACATTTTCTAAAATTACTTACAAAAATAACTTATTAAAAATAGAAACAATTGTGAATGCTTTCTTTACCTCGTGGATATTGGACGTATGAATTTAGTAATCTTGGCATTCCATGTCCAGTTCAATTCAATAAACTCAAGAATAAACCCAATTCATTAAACTTAAAACCACTATGTTCACTTTCTATTAAAAATTGCTTGTATACCTAGCAATGATGAGGATTGCCTCATTGGCACTTAAATGAGATAAAATATACGGAGCATGATGCATAAGATAAAATGCTAGAAGTGAGTATGACGTGAGAAGAGAAGAGAGAATCAGATTGGGAATAACATTTATATAACGGAGATATATAACGGAAAGGGCTTAAGTGAAAGGTTTTAAGTTTTAACCATAACATAGATAGCATTCCTAAATAGCCCTAACTCTCATTCACCTTTATAAGTTTGTATAAAGAAGAGGATCTTCAAATGTGCACGGTACACATGTGACATGAGAAATAGCCACATTAATTTGAACAAATAAATTATCTTTCTCCTTAATTGGATGATTTTATATGATTTTGTTTAATTTTTCTTTGCAATGTCAACATTTAGACGGTTTCATTGACATTGTGGAGAAAAATTTACCAAAATTATATAAAACCATTCAAATAAGGAGAAAAATAATTTATTTGCTAATATTTGTGTGGCTATATCTCATGCCACATGTGGACCGTGCACATTCTAACATTGAAGATGCTCCAAGAAATCAGTCTATCTTAAATGTAACCTTACATTGTTATCCCTTGTATATATACCTCATTTGTATAATGAAAGAATGAAAGAATCTTGATTCTCAACGCAATCACATTATTTTCTTTTGGATGAAGGGGGCTTAGATTAAAATCATAACATTCAGATAGGGATTAAAATAACAAAAGAACCGCAAGTAACCATCCGTCCTTGGGTCAGACTCTGAGTTATTCACCTTTGATAAAGCAATATAACTCGCTGATCCTAAAATTGACATAATTGAGCCAATGACGATTACCGTAGAACTCTCATCATCCAATCCTAATGCAAAAGTCTTACAGAACCAAATAAAGTAAAAGCCAAAAACAACAATATTAACGTGGAAATTAAAATGCAAAACAATAGTAAGTTATTCATAGAACACACTCCTATTTTTTTTAAAGTGCGAGTTATTCAAAGTAGTAAGTTATTTAATAGATGGATGTAATATAATTGTCACCCTAAATTTATTTATGGAAATTAATTAAGAAAAGTAATATATGATATTGATTAAGTTAGAAAACTTATATTCACGTAGATCATGAAAAATAGTTTTTTTTATCATCAAAACATGCCTCTATTCATATCAAAAGATCCAGGATCATTACATCAAGCAAAGGGAAAATAAAACTGACACCAACTGAAACTCCAACAACTACGACTGTAACCTTATGGTGAGACTTTGAGATGGTCACCCCTGAAAGAGCAACACGAATCGCTAACCATGTAGTGGGCTTG